ATTGTACGCGAAATAGGTACATATTTACATATCAATTTTTTAAACTCAATGAAACGTGCGAACCGTGACTATGATTCATTTTTGAGATTACATCATGTATAAGAGACACTTGAAATAAATCATGTTCGATTTAAACCACAAATCATATTCCAACCGTAACGCAATATTCAATTTGTATTTAAATTTCAAAAAATTTAATTAAATGGCACTGTACACACATATTACAGGTATACAGGTATTAATGTATTACACAGCTGCTGTGTGTAATTGAGAAGTTAAAAACATAATATTATGTAACTATATGGAATAAAATAACATAACACCCTACTTTCAATCGATCGATAACCGTGCTGTTCAGCGCATTGGGTTAAACCCGTTAATCGCTTAAACCAATTGTTCCAATTATTTTCGAAGATTACAATGTATAAATAACTCGAATTATGCCCTGTAACGCACTGTACGATACATTAATCATGGAATCGTTTCGCTTTGACCTTATTATTATGATATTATCATTATAAACGTACATATTGTATAATAATAATATTCCTCTACACAGCATTATCATATTTCATAAATATTTTGTACAATATGTACTATGTTAGTTAAACAATGACGTGAATATATTTTTTTTTTTTTAAACCCGCGATGCACTATAAGAACGGAATTATCGAAAACAGATTAAAATAGACTGCCGGGCGTACGAAATCGGATATATTGTTTTGAAAAAATGTCCCCTGCTATACACTCTCAAAAATTAAGTATTGTATAATATTTTATTCCATACCGCGGGAATATGGAAATCGATATTCCTAATATAAAGTCTTATACCCATATGTATCCCTATAATCTTTAAGAATTTAAATAGATATATAATATAATATACCTACAACATATTTATAGAAGTATAATGTCAACATTTATGTTCGATCTTATTGTACCTAAGTTAGCACTTGAAATACATTTGTCGATGTGAAACATAAGTAGATGGGTAGGTAACACACACATAAGTAGATGGGTGGGTAACACACATAGGATTTTGACGAATATGTCAGATTTCTAAATGTCACCTTAACCTGCACTCGGTATAAAAAATGTTTTGTACTCTGGATAATGTTGGGGCTCGGGGTAGGAAAAATATGCGCTTTTTCGCACGTTTACAGTTGCGGGGTCTGTGTTTTATGTTTTTATTCATCGTGATATATTTTTAATAATATTATAGATAAAAAATATTTTTAACTAACATAATACCGTTAATTAAAAAAAAAAAAAAAACTAAGTTAACAATAGCTGGTACCAGTTGATAACGGTGATTTTGGATGAATTTCCGCTGGTATAGTGTTTTGATTAAAACACTAAATATATAGGTTCCTATATATTATAATGGTACGAACAATAAATCCGCGGCCATCGTTATAAAATTAATACAATATGTTATATCAATATATTATCCGTCGTCATAGACTCGTGTAGCAATAAACTCGACTAGAGTTTGTTCGAAACCAAGTACCGACTATACAATGTAGTAAATAATAGTAATGACATAGTGCGCATTATACCTATTGTTTGGGCAAACAACGAAATAATTATATTTACCTGCCGGCGCACTCACAGACTCACAGTTTATAATAAATGGGTACACCGATGGCCGTTGAGTGCGTTACCACGAAAGTCACGATAGTTGCATACGCGAGAATCCGCGTAGGAGGCTATACGCCCAACACTCGATGTTCGGGCTGCCTCGGGAGGACCTGAATGATGTTTTTTACTCAAAAAACAACGTTTTAATGTGACAGCTGCACACCCCGTAAAATGCACACGCATGAATTCTTCGTAAAATCTTTATGTGCTGTCACGATATCACCGTGTGTGCATGATGGATATGTTATACCTGCTACTAGTTTCTTTTAAGTAAATTCTAGTCTACACATATTACATATTACACAGTAAAACGAATGGTTACCACGAATCCCTAAAACACGATAAGACGACGGCTTTGCACGTCAAGGATGTCGGGAACGCCGATTTTTCATCAAACGGATACAGTTAATAATCAATGCAATCCGTGAATACGTTTTAAATGATAATATCTGTGACCAATGACCCGGATGCATTCTTCTTGATCAGGAAAAAAAAATATCGAGTTTTGGAACATATAATAATGCCGAGCATTAAATTGTACATAGTACGCAAATCCAGTTTTTTTTTAAGGGCACAATATAAATGGAGAACGATTGCCAAAAATAAATTGACATTTTCCGTATTAACGATTAAAACATACATCATATTTTATACATGATTAAAATATTAAATACTTTAAACCAAAACAGCAGCGGTAAATACCGTAGTTATAAATTATTTCAATCAGCTGGAACTGTTCAACATCCCTTTAATTGAATGACAAAAAGTAATCTGAATATTAAAATAATTTTTAAAAAACAATCGTAATCTGGCTATAAAATACTTTTTTACACAACAACAGTGTTAATAATAATGTTATTTTTCCCCGAGAGTAAAACGATTACATCGCATAAAAAGATTCGACTAAATCAAAATCTTTGTTTTTTTTTTTACATTTTTTATGACAAAATAAGAGTAAGCACCTATACATTGGAAATATCCTGAATTCATCCCGTTTTAAATTGTTTACCTATTTCATAGACCGAGTGCTTCCGCAGTCATTAATAATTTAATATGCCGATTGCGTTCTCAATTGTCACTTCTCAGCTCTCTGCAGAGCGCAGGTACCTATTTATGATAAACTTATCGGCTAAAAAACTTTAAAGATACAAGCCCAACGATCGCCTACGATAGTTCAATATTGTAAAATAAACCATCGAGACACACTCGGGGGACGTAAAGAATATTACCTTTTTTTTTTGGGACGCACTCGGCTGATACCCTATTTCTTATTCCTTACGTCCAAGCTACATTTAATATGGAATATTTCGCGTGCACTCGAGAAAATTCCCCTAAAAATAAAAAATATGTGTACTATAGAAGAACTATTATACGGGTACGAAATAATAAAATAATCAAATCATATTTTGAAGAAGAAAAAAGCAAATACAATTTCCCGCGACCAAATCTCATTACATGACATCTCAGTCCATCAACAAATATAACAATAATAATATTATTCAAATAGTGAACCTATTGTACTCTTGGATAGTGCAAGTTCTCCTTGTTCTTTTTATTATTATTATCTTTCTTCTTATTTATACATATATATTTCATTAATTGTTATGCTTTCACGAACTACAATATTTGATTGTTCGACGATTATTATTTATGATGTATAATTGATGTTTAATGCATAATATCATAATATCTTACTGTGCTCGCGTACACATACACAAACGCGCATACTTAATTTTATAGTAAACAAAATTATTGGAATTCGGAACAAAACAATGACGCGTGACTCATCCCCGACGCCAGCTGCAGCTTGCTGTTTTCGAAATTGACGATTAATATTTCACAATAATTATTGGAGACCAAACCGTTCCTAATCACCTATATAAATAACCGTTATGGTGTTTTAGCGTGTACACTACCTATGATTTATTTATTATTATTATAAAGTATCAAACATTACGGATTACCCATCCGTCATCCCGCCGCTGACGGATTAGTGCCGTTATTTATTATTATTTATTACACTAATATTACACGATTACGCTAATACCGACAAAACGGTTGCCGTACACTATAATGTTATAATAAATACCGTACAACAATAAGTATAATGTACATTATGCATTTGGTTTAATTATTCGTTCAAATCGGCCATCGTCGTCTCGATAGAAAGCGTCCCGGAAATTAAGGTCGTCGCGTCGGATACTCTCAGATTTTATATGGATTTGTGCATCTTAGTGTACCTGAGTATATTATTATTATTATTATACTTGTCTGCATAATATTATGTTTAATGCTCTCCACTCGTTCGTTGCACTTTAATTTCCGATCTGAGTTTGGAAAAATATTTTTTTCTTTTTGCTTCTTTCACACCCCGTTGTGTTTTGAAAATATTTTAATACACAGGGGTGAAATTAAGATGATTTATTTCATCAATGATGCCGCCCGTTAAACGCTGTTCGATTCATTAATTATAGCCGTCGTCATTAATGCGCCGTATTAAATAATAATATAGCACCGTAGAAAATCTTAAAATTCATCGAAATGTCAACATTAACCAGTGTTATATAATGTTATGTAGATTATTGATTTTTTTTTCTTCTTGTCATAGATCAGTTCTATTAATAAAATGAATGGAATCCGACCTGACAAATGTATCCCTTTTATCATCTGATTTCGCATATAAATAATATGTCAAAAAAGGTTAGGATTTTTACCAACGAGAAAAAACACACACTGAGTAAAAAATGGTAGTAAATTTGTCAAATTGAATTGCTTTATTCCGGAAAAAACCATTATAGTTAATGTAAATTTTCCATTTTTGTTTCAAAATGTATATTTTTATTTTTCTACTTTCATTTCGTTCAAAAAAAATGTGAATATAATTCTGTAAAGCAATAGATATTTTTAAACATATTATCCATTTTTTTTAGTTTTTAGCCTTGTGAAACAAGAATAATTTATTGAGAAGATAATTAGATATGAATATTTAATTGCAGTAAATTCAAATATTCTTTGCAATATTATAGCGTATGCTACGTATAGGTAGGTATTCATAGAGGTGTAAGTTTTCTTAAAAATGTATGTACATAACATAAATTTAAAAAAATGTTGTCAGCTGTATATTGCATTATATTCTGTCGGTCCTAACATTAAACATCAGTTTTAAAAAGAGCACATTCTGAGTTCTGACATTAACAATGCGTGTCGTTGTTCAGTTAAATGAAATAATAAATTATAATAATGACATTCTCGTAAATATTGGAGACATCTTGTACAATACAATTTGTTAATGTATACAATTGAATAATTGAACCGTTAACATAACGATGTATTTACATATTTTATTTGTTTTTACTTAGGACGGATTGATGATGGGTGATCAAGAGGACAATCAAGATGCCGTCGAAGTGATGTTGGTTGCGTATACACGTGAGGACGGTATTTCTGGTCGTTCTAGTAATTTACAACAAAACTCCGTTAAAACCCAAGTGTAAACATCTCAATGGTAAGTTACAATTAATATTCAATATTATTATCTTTATACTGAACCACATCATATTACGAGTTAAGGAGATGCCATGGTTTCGTATGATTAATTTTATATCCAATACGAAAACGCATTGTTATAATACTGTTTCCAAGTACGAAGTGTAATACTATTCTAAATAATTATGTCAAATTTAAATAACTACTTCGAACTCAGAATGACGAATTAATGGTTGGGTACGGAATTCACAGAAGCAGTTGATTTCATTTAATAATAATTATATTATGTACCAGCGAAATTATTACTTTAATTTAATGTGTTGAATTTGATACATATTTGAATATAACTGTGTGTAATATATTATCATAAAAATATTCATCTCACAGTATGAGACCTGCAAAATGCACAATGACATATCGGAATCGTTAGTAATTAAATCTAAAGAAAACGTATTAAATAAATGTGAAGTAAATGCTGAAATTCCAAGCGCTTAGAATTTATTATATTTGAGTGTGCCGCGGAAACACTTAAAATAATGAATTATACTTAATTATGATTATACGGCCATAGAAATAATTGCGATGACGTTTTTCATTTTAATTCTTTAGGGTTGTAACAATGGCCCTCGTATGGTTACCTCTGTTGTACATGCAACGACTGTTTGACTATGATAATTTATTAACAGGATTAAAAAATAACATCATAAAAATATTATTATTCAAGTTGAAACAACTAAACGCAAAATAAATTATGAACTATTGTGACGTAATTTAAAACAGAAAAAATCATTTATAATTTTACTTAATTAGAAAATATTATAACGTTGGAATGGCAAATAAACTGAAACTAATAAATCAAATGATTAATAAAAAACAAAAGTAGGTACCAACTTCCAATTCCCTTAAAAAGTGTCACGTTGCGCATAAATAATTTTGAACCTATTACGCAGATTTAAATGAAACTAATCGATTCCCAATTCAAAACGATTAAATTATATTACTAAAGAGAAGTTTCATTAAAATATAATATTTTAATAGTTAACTTTACTGAAATAGTGGAAACGATTTTATTTCGGAAATATGTTATCCGTTAAGTTTTATTATCCGTGTTGATGATAATTCATCTTAAGCAACTATTGTGATTATACTGGGGTCACGTTAGGAAACGGATAATTAATTTCTATTAAGTCTTTTTTTCTCTCCCATTGTTTGAGTTTTCTGAGAGTTATTATGGGTCTAAGAAACCTTGGATGTCCTGTCATAACCAGTATTGCTTGAAAAATGGTTCCCGTAGCTATTATTCTTCGCAATCCAAATCCTTGGATCAAATCTAAACTGTTAAAATTCAGCGTATTCCTTTAATAATACCAAACGCGTTCTTAATAATAATCCATGTTTCTATTTATATTATATTATTACTTCCATCCACGTTTTGTGCACAGAACATTTAAATTAACCGAAACAAACATTAATACACACAATATAGCACAACTTTTTCTTTTATTACTTTTTTTTTTGTTGTTGTTCATAATATATAGTAGCTGTATACTAGCTGTATTTCATTATGTCTATCTTACGCTCAACATCAATCTGAATATTAAGATAAACACATTATTCAAAGAAATCCTAATAAAAATAAATATTACATTTTTCTTTTTTAATAAAAAATATTCAAGTATATCTACCTGTATTTTATACAAGAAAATAACGCCATCCCTAAAATCGGTTATCAATAAAAATATATATAACGGAGGGTCAACACCGGAAGACCGTTTGAAATGTGTACATTTTATTTACGTTTTTTCTTAACTAAATTGTTAGAACATTTTTTTTTGCACACTTGTTTCGACTATATAACGTTATATTTATGCATAAAAACATTTTTTTCAACACAACGTTCGAAAGCAATTTCATATTTTCTTTTCGTGGTGCATACAATTTGTATCCAATGTTTTAGAGTCTAAGACTTAAGTCACGTTGTATTTAAATAGATGACTTTATATTTTCAACTGAAACATTCAATCATATGCTACACATATTTTCAATATAATACGAAATGACACGCCATGTTTATGTGTTGTTCAATATTATATTAATGGTTTTTGGCTTAAACCAAAAGTATAAATTTCGATTTTTGACGCATTTTAATATAATATGTATACAATTAGCTTGAGAGTATAAAACCTTGATATATTTGTACGCACGATAAAGTATTCATATAGAAAAATTATACTTGAACGGATATTATACAACAATAAAATTGAGATTATCATCTATCGTTGCTGCAAGGCACATCTTTCAAACATTAGTAGATATGCCGTTGAGTATAAATTCATAAGTAACAGATATCTGGCAAATATTGTTCTTAATTTTTATATTTAAATGTGTTAATGTTATTTAGAAAAAAAAATACTTTACTTTCTTATTTAAAAATATACCTAATTTTAGGTTACCTGGTAATTGTATACATAGTTGTAGATACAGCATAACTGCACATTACGAGGACGATTTTGAAAAAAATTCAGAGTGCATACAACATGCATGTCGTGTTCTAAGCGTGGATTAAGTTTTGATTACTGTGAACTTTAAAATGATAAAAAGGTACATTATTTTCAACACAGACCCATTTTATTTGTAAACCATTCATGTGAAAAAAACTTAATTTTCTTCCAAATAATTTTTTTGGGCTTGTTGATAAATTATAACTTGTATGGAAAAATATTCTTTTCAAACAGACATAAATGTGGGTCTTTTTCTCTAGTGTAGTATTATAGTACATAATATTATACATCATTAAATTAGTAGTCTGGGCAGATCATTTCGAATTGAATGCCGCAGTATATTTATATAGTGGATACTTGATTCGGCTTTCGGACAAAATTACTTATTATAATTCATATGTGAACAAAGTTATATCTTTATAATGTGTAACGGGTCGTCCCCACAACCGACACTACATCTACTTCCGACCGCACCGCAATAGGCAACGACCAACACTAATACGTTCGGATGACTGACCACACCAGTGGCGTATATACGATTAAATTTCGGGGGGAGGTTTTAGAAATCCTGAGTCGGAATTACAGTATAATTATTAATAATAATAATTCCACAAGACTTTTATTTTGGGGGGGGGGGGGGTGACCCTTCCATCCAAGCAAAAACATTACAATGATAGATAGGAAATGATGTACATTTCGCTTAAAAAAAAACATAAAGCATAAAATATAATAATCGATATGATACAAAAAGTCACGATTAACACCTAGCATTTTTTAGTTTGATTATTTGTCATACGTATAAATTTGAGAGCAACTACTATTTTATTGAGTAATGAATATATTCTTTCTAGAGTCCAACACATGCACATAAAATTGAACTATAATGTGAGTTTTGATGCTCAGAAGACAATAATTATTCCTGTTATGTGTATCCGATGTCCGGCGGCGTGGTGTATAGGCAATTTCACTACAGCTACGTGTTGGTGGCTCTCAAACGATACCTCAATGTTTGATACTAATAACTTTGTAAAGTAACACCACGCTTGGGGTTATGAGTATGAAATATTTCACATGACATTTTCACTTTAAAATATTGAAAAAAATATTTTTTTAATTTTTCTTCAAATATTGTGTTTTGTTTTTTTTTTTTTTGGTATATTTCATACAATCATCACTCGATGGTCAGACTGATTATTCATACTCGATTAGTGATTATCAATATTTAATTCCCGATCGCAATGTAGAAGAGATAAATACAAAAAAGACAATCATTATGTTATTTATACGATGCAAGCAATAATTCTATAACATTTTCCACTTGATATTTAAATATAAGTAGTGGTATGAAATTAACTCCCTACAAAAGTATTAGCTTAAAATTTTTTATTTTTCATTAAAATGAACAGTTTGTGAAAGTTTCATAAAATATTTCAAAAATGCATGATATATTAGAACCCTAAATTCTTGGTTATGCGTTATACCTATCGACCGTAATTATGTTTAGACTCGTGATGTGCAAATTAATTTCGTTCCGGATGCAAATATATAATATTTTTTGCTCGGCACAATATTGCGTGCAAAACATGGCAAGGCGAAATAAACCTATTTCCCATTTACCTGGAGCTTATCAAACGAAACAATCAAAAATCAAATCTCCTGTAATCATAAGTTGGATAACGCCGTGCATGCATTACGTACGGATGTTATAATATCCGTCGTCGGAGGAAGATAAGATGGAAAATTCGGAATAATATCCAAACTAAAAAAAAAAAAAAACCACCACCGTCATTTTGTAACTATTATTATTGTAATATAACCATTACTTACGAATTCGCCACACATTGTTCCTTCGGGCTATTACCCATCGTCGTAACGAGAATTCGGTACGCGAAAGACGTGCGAAGATATAATATATTAAATCCCGTACGATATTATACATGCGGATTATAGTATCGAGTGAGATTTTGGCATAAAAAGCGACCTCGGGGACTCTTATACTCGATTGAATAAGTGAACAGATAAATAATAAATGTACCTTCGGAAATGATTTTGATGTAAAACGAAACGTACACGGTATGTACATTAAAGAAAGTGACTACCATACATTCTTGTTTGATATATTCGAAAATCAATAAATTAGTGTGACCAAATCGTATTTCGTAAGTCATTGCCGCATTTCAGACCGCAATATTTTAATGTTGTACCAATAAGTGTACCTTCGTAAATCGTAACTTTATAATATGGAGATTGAACATGTTGGTCGAGGCGTTAGTCAATATACATGACATTATAAACGTTGTAATCAGAATAATTAATAATATGTCTATGGACTTATAGTACTATTTTTATGAGTTGTTATGTTACTTTATTTTATTATGTACAACCTAAAACTAATACAACCTGTAAGCTAATAACCTATGTAGTTGATGCTTAACTAATAATAAAAAAAAAAAATAAAAAATATCGTACTGTACATTTCATATAATATTTGAAAATTACAGTTTTTACTAATAAGTAATAATATTAGCCAACAAAACATGATTTGAAGTATTAGTGAATTTGCCTTGCAAAAAATGTTTGATAAATGTGTAACCTTATGCTTAAATTATATTGATATTGACATATTTTTTAATGTATTAATCACAATAGTTATTAATTTATGGTTATTTCAATCGGAAGTTTTTTTTTCTTGAACACATAGTCAATACAGCCCATTCATTTCGTCAACTATGATTAGATACAATAAATATTTATACAATATCACAATATTCGATAAATATCTCATACTATCAATCATATGATTACTGATAAACTTAGTCAGATAGAATTGTTTTTTTGTTGATGTAATTAAACTGATACCTATTTTGTAAAACAAAACAATAATTCAAATATATCAGGCAATATTTTCAAAATAGTTTTTGTTTTAAATTAATTATGTAATTTTTTTTTATTCTGTACCTCCGTGTCTGACTCTTTGTTCTATTCTTTCAGTCATCTCACCATGTGCTTAATAGATAGAGCTCAACTTTAATAGTGAGTAATAATGATATTATAACATTATAAGAATATTCTATACAGTATATCTATACGTACACTTTTTAATTTTGTTTTTCTTTGTAGAAAAAATCATCCATGATGGATATTATTCCAAATCTTTCATTTGCGGGATTGCTTTGTGATTAAAAAAAAAATTAAAAATATAATGACTAACAAAGTGACGATAAACCGTTTAATCTAAACAAAAAAAAAACACTTTTGATAAAATATTTAAATGATAACATATTTTTATGTGTAAAATAAATATAGGATTAAAACAAACGATACAATTTTTGAAAACGTAGAAGAAAGGAAATTAGTTTTAGTAAAAACTATAATTTATTCAAATAAAATATCAATTTTTGCTTGATTATTATTTGACGATAGAACCGCCGTGATTAAATTGAAATTTTCTCTTGGAGCAAAAAATCAATGTAGCCGTGATTATCGATTATATATACACGTTCAATGCAGAAGTACAAATTGTATTTTGACGGGCACTGGTAAGGTAATTGTGTACACATAATTATGACAATGGCCGCGGTGTGGTGAAAACAGTATCATATAATAGCATTTCCATATTATAATAGAATATTATGTTATTATAGTGTGCGGACGATCGGTAAAACTCAGCGATTGAAAATCGCACAGTCAAGAGAGTGCAATTAGGTCAGTCGACGAAGTTAACGTATATACACTACGCCAACGTCATATTACGTAACCACATTATAACATACTCGCAGAGTACACACAGACACCAAACTGGCATCGACGACACGTCTTTTGATTGGGAACTCATTTATTCTATAATTAAGTGGGAAGATCGATGACAAATTGGTATGCTCGCCGGCGGATACTTCAATGTGTATTCATCGAGCTTAAATCGCATCAGTCCTCGTATCGATCGGTTTTCGGAAGTGCACGGGACATAAGCAATAATGTTACAACTGTATTCAAGTCGTATACTAGGAACACTGCACCGACGGCAGGGTGATGGATTTTTACCATGGGCATCATTTACCGGTTTTGTGATATTTTAATTTATTGTTCGAGCGATCATATCGCGTTACATAACGGCTCCTCGCCAGGGTATTTCTATTACTGCAGTTCAGACGTTTACAGGGAGATTAATTTTATCGTGAACCACACAACCTATCCCAAGAAACACCCAACTGTTTTCTCTATCGGCATTTATTAAGAACATGTGGGTTACGGACTATAACACATATATCTACGATAGGTTATCAATGTATTTTTGATATTAAAATAGTATTAATGATAAAAAAAAAAATCAACATGACTTGTATTTTCTTAGATTTGACATGCGACTCCACCATAAAATAATTACACTATACTTGTACATTACGGGTGCGTGTAAGTATATCAATATAATAGCAGAGTGCTGAGATGGGTAACCGCTCCCGCCAACGCCATTAGACGACTACTATACAGTGTTAAATCGTGTAACCCTCAGCTCGGCGATCGCGGTGTACCTACCTGCTACCTGTTTCCGCCGACGTACGCCGCTCCGCGTTCAAACGAAACAAACGACTCGGTGGTTCGCTTTATCACTTAATTAGGCTACTGTCGTCGTGGTGAACAATAACCGCATTCATTCTGCCAGGTCGAGACCTCTGGCGGACCTTGAAAATACGACGGTGTGCCTTAAAGATGTGTCTTTACATAATGTATAGATATGGCGAGTGCATTTCGGCTTTCGAAAACTGTCGTTATTAATAATATAATGTGCCCCACAATCGTTGTTTTATAATATTACGCTCGCGACACGAACAGCAGACTATTTCGTTCATTTGTTCCGCGACGCATTGCCTATACCGTCGTCGACCGCGTTAAGTATTTCATTACACTTTTCGTGAGAGTAAATATCCAAACTCAACGATTAAAACAATTAATCTACGTCAATTTTGTGAGTATCGATATCGAGCACGTTATTGTGCCCACAACAGTTATGTAAAAACTTGGCTCCGCAATATTACAACAGTTCAATATCAATATGACATTATATAACGAGTGATTCTCAAAAACGGCACATCTCACTTGTTCAGATATTCATAGTCAAATCGTTGGGTTATGCAATGTTGATATGGATGACGTCGTCGTGAAGATTTGTACACTACGGAGTGTGGACTTATTGTTATGCGATTCCAAATCTGTCTCCATAAAAATCCTGCAACGTCTCATACGAATTGGGTAATAAGTGACTCTCTTAATATTACTCACACGCCCTCCACAACAGCTCACAAATATATTTTTAGTCGTGATGTAACTAATAAAAAAACGTTTAAGTATCTACCTACATCGTTCGAATTGCATAGTGTATTCATAAATGGCAAAGTTAAGATATTTCTCGCGTTTATATCATTATATGATATGCGAAGGAATAAATTCGTCTTTATAAAATTTTATTCGTCTGTAGCAAAAGTTTCAAAAACATTGTTTGAATGCCATTGTATTGAATATTATACGGCACCTATTTGTTTCTGAAACATGACATTTGACACAAAGTTCATTTGTATTCAAAATAATTAAACACATATAGTAGGTAATCATACTAACGTGCAATACCATTAAAATCAATAAACATAGATAAAATAATGAAAACTCGTTCAATATTTGACTCAATGAATAGGGCAGTGTTTTATGAAATATTATTGTTACAGAAAACAAAAACAAAAAATTCAGTAAATAAAAATCATAACAATACGATAAAATTCAATATTATTTATTACCGAATTAGTATCACAATGATAATCACATATTATTCAACTATTGTTGTTGTATGTTCTTAATAAAAATAATGAAACCCAAATAATTTATAACTGCTATACTAACAACTAACATATATATGCACATTGCATTAACTAACGTCTACCGCACAATACATTGTTCTATAAAATAATTTTTGTATTCTGCATGGTTTTTAAACATGGAAACAATTAGACTCAGGTGGGTAACAAAAAAAAATATTTTAATAATTGTATACAAATAATCGAAAGGGTTTTCAAACACTCATAATTGCTTCAAAAGCATTAGTTATGAATACCTGCTAAAACGTATTATTTAATTTAATCATGGTATTATATTTCATATAACTAACTAATTTGTATACGTACTTAATATACAGTGACAAATATTGTTATAATACTGTTCAAGACGTAAACACTCAGGAATTGTAAGAAAACGGGTTATATATGTATATAGTAGCAGAATACTTCCTCACTTTATAAATTTCATCTTTCTGTGAAGCGTACAATTAATTATGAAATTATTGGTTATGTTTTGGTGTCTGACAGCAAATTTCATGATAAAACGACTTATTAAAAAAACACTACTTATTAAAAAACTAAAATATAATCTTCAATCCGAATTCGAATTTCAAACCGTCTTCAAGTATACACTATTATAATACCTATGCATATAAACTTAAATAATAAATTACTTAACTTTGTTGAAATGTAATTATCTTGTAGTATTGAAAAGCTGACCCACAGATCAAAGCAAAACTTCTGTGCAATTCGTCATTAATGGTCTCATTGAAAAGTAAACGTCTATATCCAATTATGTTTACTTTGATTAGTTACGAGAGTTCATACAAATAATAAACTGATCTGTAGTATATTGTTTGACATAATACAGTTACAAAAAGGTAGTAAAATTAACAAGCAATTTGTAAATATTGTTCAGAATAATTTCTTCTCACATCCATTCTTCTTATTGGTCCTTTAACCTCGACATATCCAGAAATTTCATTAAAAGTTTCCCTAGATTAAGGACGGGACGTTAACTACTCCCTTAATGAATTTCCATAGTTTGAATTAGGCATTTACAATTATCTTGCATAAGTATGCACAAAATTCGAGCATTCATCAGTAATTGTATTAATAGTTTATTTATCTTTTCCCCCTTGACAAATTATACTATCGTTACTTTCTTTAATAAATCAATTTGTTTTTTATTTTTATTTTAATATTTTTGTTCAATAAGAGGTTATTTAAATATATGTTATCATTAAGTTAATTTTAAAGGTATAATATCGAACCAGAAGCTTGATAATTAACTGAACAAAAATGTAAAATATAATTATTTTAACCGAAATAACAAGCAATTCATAATTTCATTAGATTTTTGTCGGTTTTTTAAATAAAGTGCAAAATTTTATATTGCATATTTTATACTTGGATATTTATGTACAAACCATACCAATACAAAATGTTTACTGATTTTTATTTAAAACAAAAATTAATAAAAAACTGTATTTTTAAAATTTGTTATATTTCGATAGAATTGTACAGTATTACGTTATTTTATGTATTCTATATGATGAATAGTTAATAACATAACGTCAGTGAAAAACGAATAATGTCTAGTTGAAAAGTTTGATTATTGATCCCACAGTATACTATACTGCTACTAGTATATAATATATTATGATGACACCGAATTTTTTTAATTACTAACTAATTGATTCAAATTTTAATTTGATCTCTTATACTAATTTGATGAATACGCATAAAAAGCTTTTTTCCCATATCATTGACTAATAAGCCACAAGGGACAAAACTTAACATAATATTATATATATTTTTTTTTTAATTTAATAGCAAAGTTGACTCTAATATCATACGTTGAATATCAACTTCAAATAAACTTAATGAAATTATTATTTATTTTTTTTTATAATCAATGTATGTTAAGTTTTTATGGAAAAATTGTATAAAATTTAATGCGCTTAAAAGGGTAAAAACAATTTTTATATTAGCCTCGAATTTAAGAATATTACTTCAGATTAAATATTTCTTTTTAATTTAACTTGGAAATTTCAATGACTCCAATGAGTCAAAAGCAAATAAAATTTGAAAATATTTAATTATATTTTATGTATGTCTTAGTACAAGTACACAAACAAAAGCGCAGTGATATTATTCAAAACCAAATACTAATTTGATGATTCAAATATTTTTTCAATTATTCTTTTG